GGCAGTTGGGACAGAAGTCCCCAGCAGGAGCTCCCATAACCATATCCTCATATGTTGTACCTTCTGTTTCTTGTTCAGCCTTGCAGAAAAGAAAATTTACCTGCATTTTGCTATGTTGTTATGCCACACCAAAAGAGATTGAGCCAAGTTCAGGGGGGAGGGGAGGGCTTAGTCTGCAATCTAACCCCACTTGCCAGCAGGTAAGTCCCATTGGATTCAACAGGACTTATGCCTGAGTAGACACAGTTAGGATTGCACTGTTGGGCTTCAAACCCCACTTACACACAAATAAGCCCCATTGAATACAGTAGGACTCACTTCTGAGTGGACCTGGTTAGGTTTGCAGCAGTGTCCAGCCTGGGGTGAGGATTTTCCAGGCTTTTGCCTGAATCTTGCAAGAATCAAAGGTCTTCATTTGTCCCTTGTGTGCTCTTGCCTTGCAGAGGGAACAAAGGCAAAGATATAAACACCATCAAGTCCCTGAGAGTTCTGAGAGTCCTTCGGCCTCTGAAGACCATCAAACGTTTGCCAAAGCTGAAGGTATGATGTGATCCTCAACCCATCTGCCCTGGCAGATGAGGTAGTGCATCATCTCATTTCTGAGTATGCATGTGGGGGGTGGGATTTGATTTGGTTCACATTTCAATGCTAACTGACCTAATTTGCCATTTTCCAAAACAATACAAGGACCAAAACACACTCTTCAAAATTGGTCAAATTTTGTGGTGCAGTTCTTCAGCTAAATCATGCAGACAAAAATTAGGGGAAATAATGTGGACAAAATATTAGTGGGAAGTATGCATGAAAATGCACATATTAGTGAAGGGACATTCAAAAGTGAACATGTTATGGGAAAATGTAAATACTGGGCAAACTGGTATACAAAAATGTGCCTACTGAGAAAAAAATACCACACTAAAATGCTGATGAATTTTCATGAAGACTTTTTTTTTTTTGAAAGCTGATGAGGAGCTACTCTTAAAATAGGTAAAGTGAGAAATGAAGAGAAATGAAAACTGATAGATTTGCCTACCTCTATTCTTCATATCCATCCATGATTACCTTGGCCTCTCCAGTTGCTGGTGCTCCCTTCCTCTCTACTGATTTGTTACCCTTGACCCGTGCTGCCAGTCCCTTCTTCCACTTTCTCCCTTGCTATTCCTTATCCCTGGACCTGCCTCTGCAATCACCTGTGCCATATATCTTCATTTCCACCTAATCCCACTTCACAGACAGAAGGAGCTTTTCCCATTGCAGAGGGCAGGATCCAAGCCAATGTGGCTTTATAAGAATACTCTGCCGACTTCTCTGCCAACGTTTAAACACCTGCTGAAAACTTTTCTATTCCACCAGGCCTATGCAGGCAATTAAGAATATATCTTTCCAAAATGGCTAATTGCTGTCCGTTTTGAATGATTTTTATTGTATGGTTTTATGTTTTTATTGCTGTAAATTGCTTTGATTTATACTTCATCATGGATTCTGTTTCTGAATCCCCCCCCCTCTTATATGCAGGCAGTCTTTGACTGCGTGGTGAATTCTCTGAAGAATGTCCTCAACATCCTCATTGTCTACATGCTCTTCATGTTCATCTTTGCAGTCATAGCGGTGCAGCTTTTCAAAGGGCGATTCTTCTACTGCACGGACGAGTCCAAGGAGCTGGAAAAAGACTGCAGGTGCCCAGATCAAACAAATAAATATGTTTTGATGCACAGTATGACCTGATTGATAAGACCTGAGCTAAGCTGGGGCTGGAGGGATGGGGCATCTCCTTTGCTGTGTCCTTCCTTGTGACTAGTGTGTGAGAAGCTCAGGGACCTGGTCACTAGAAGGTGGTCAAGTGCTTTTTCATAGAATCTTGTAACTGTAGTGTTGGAAAGGTCCTAAGGGTAATCTAGTCCTGTTACAAGTTCTAGTGTTTCTCCCTTGCAATGCAAGAATTTAGAGCTTGAGAGCAGCTCCAGTGTGAAGGGTTGGGATGGTTGGGCTCCTGCTGAGGTCCTGTACCCCTGCAAGAGCAGTGAACTCAGGAAGCATAGGTAGCTTGTACAGTCAGACAACTGGGTCTATCTGGCTCAGTTTCTCTGCACTGACTGGCAGAAACTTTCCAGGATTTGGGGCAGAGGGTCTCAGGCAGAGATGCCAGGACTTGAACTTGGGACCATATGCATGCAAAGAAGATTCCACCTAAACATTAGGAAGAACTTCCTGACAGTAAGAGCTGTTCGACAGTGGAATTTGCTGCCAAGGAGTGTGGTGGAGTCTCCTTCTTTGGAGGTCTTTAAGCAGAGGCTTGACAACCATATGTCAGGAGTGCTCTGATGGTGTTTCCTGCTTGGCAGAGGGTTGGACTCGATGGCCCTTGTGGTCTCTTCCAACTCTATGATTCTATGATTCTATGAAAACCTATGCTCAATCACTGATTTATGGCTCTTACCCCAGAGCTTGAAGTGAACTAGTTCAGATTAATGAAGTTCAGTGAACTAATGGCAAAAACTCTGAACTACAGCCGAAAGTTCTCATAACTGCTGGGTGAACTGAACGTGGATTAACTTTTGGAGAACTTTGAATGATTTCTAGTTCATCTTCATGTTTGTTCTCTTACATGTGTTTTTCTACTCCTTATAGAACGCCTTTAAACCTAAAAATAATAATGGTTGGGGAAATAAACAATTTATGTTCTGTTCTGTATGTGTGTTTTGATGTTTTCTTACTTCTCCTTTTATACTTCAGCACAGTAGTTTGTAATATTCTGAACGCTGGGGGGGGGGGGAGGTTCCCCAATGACCATTTGGTTGAACTATGAACTGAGCATGAACTGGTTTGGTTTGTAAAAGGACAAATATGAACTGGAATTAGATCCTTGGGAGACAAGTTGAACTTTAACTAGTTCTTCCAAGGTCTGAGCAAGAGGTGCACTGACAAGGGCCTCTTGGATCTCCTGCATCTCTTTACTATTTGCAGACCACCGGCCTCTCCCTCATACCCAGAGGGAGTGAACAAGCAGATAACAACAATTGTAGTGGTGAGCAGGAAGAGGAGAAGGAGCTGCCATTGCCTACTTGCTCATTGGTTCCATGAGTGGCAAGCAGGCAATGATTCAGAAGCATACCACCCACCAACTGTGGAGATAGAATGTAGCCTTCAGGGTCAATGGCTATTAACCCTGATGCCTATATTCTATCCCCACTATCAGAAGCAGTATGCTTCTGGTGACCAGTTGATGAAAACCTCAGGAGGAGAGAGGGCTTTTTTTGCTCAGGTCCTACTTGAATGATGGAAGATTTAGGACAAACAAAAGAAGATACTTCTTCATGCAATGCAGAGTTAGACTATGGAACTCGCTCCGACATATGTTAGTGATGGCCATCAACTTGGATGGCTTTAAAGGACAAATTCATGGAGGATCTTTATTAATGGCTACTACCTGTGCTCTGCCTCCACAGTCAGTATCCTGAAGAAGACTTGCTGGAGCAGAGAGCACTGCTTACAGGCTTTCCATAGGCTTCTGGTTGGCCATTGTGAGAACAGGATATTGGGCTAGATGGGCCACTGGCCTGATCCAGCAGGCTCATCTTCTTCTATTCCTAACACAAACACCCCATTCAGAAGTTATCACCCACATGTTGACCAATGCATGAATGAGACCATGTGGCTGCCTCCAGCCTTGACCACATGGGGTGATGAGCTTGGCATCCACACATATATAGCATGAGCATCTGCAAGAATAGACCCCTTGTTTATGCAAAAAAATTCCACACAATCTGGAGCAATCAGGTTTCCGGATCATACTGAAGCCTTTGAATATGCAGTTGCAAAGAGGATTCTGCCATATACAGAGTCAACCTTTGATGCTATATAGCTTAGCATTTGTCCACACTGACAATGCTAAACTTACATTCTGAGGAAGAAAAAGAGCAGTAAATAATTACAATAGTGGTTAATGGAGGCAGCATATTTGAGGGATGGTAACCCATGGAGGGTGTCAGCACCCATCATAAATGAGGCCCAGCTCCACATTCTCCTGTTTTGATTCTGTGTCCCATCTTCCTTCCAGGGGCCAGTATCTCGATTATGCAAAAGATGATGTGCAAGCTCAGCCCAGGCAATGGAAGAAATACGAATTCCACTATGACAATGTCCTCTGGGCTCTGTTGACACTCTTCACTGTCTCCACAGGAGAGGGGTGGCCAACGTAAGTTTGTATGGCACGTTAGTGCCTTGTGGTGGGGTGGGGGGTGGGGTTCAGACAAGAATATTTCCCAAGCCCTGGGTCCTTCTGCATGCAAAGTTGATGCAGAGTTGCAGCCATTCATCCAAATCTCTGCCTGCTCCTTCTCTGCCTCCTTCTCACAGTGTTTTAAAGCATTCTGTTGATGCAACGTATGAGAACCAAGGCCCAAGCCCTGGGTACCGGATGGAGATGTCCATCTTCTATGTGGTGTATTTTGTCGTCTTCCCCTTTTTCTTCGTGAACATCTTTGTGGCTTTGATCATCATCACCTTCCAGGAGCAGGGTGACAAAGTGATGTCTGAATGCAGCCTTGAGAAAAATGAGGTACTCTCTCAGGATACCAGATGGAGAAAGGCTCTTTTTTCATATTTGCAGGGTTAGCTAAGCATCCAGCCCTGAGGGATTTTTGCCTCCCTGACAAAATTAGATATCTCGACATCAATTTGCAAATCAAAGTATTTCCATTATATGCCAGGACATCTGCAGTTTAACCCATCCCATTGTGCTAACATTACAGAGTCAGACCATTGGTCCACCTTGCTTGGCACTGTCCACACTGGCTGGCAAGGTTTTAGGCAGGGAGTCTTTCCCAGCCCTGCTGGGAGCATGCAAAGCAGATGCTCTTACCCCTGAACTATGACCCTTCCCCTAATAAGAAGCTGTTTTATACGGAGTCAGACACTTTAAACAGGTAGCCCAGTACAGTCTGCCTTGACAGGCGCATGACTCTCTAGAATTTCAGGGAGAGTTTTCTCTCAGCCCTACCTGGAAATGCCAGGGATTGAACCTAGGACCTTCTGCATGCAAAGCATATGCTCTACCACTGAGCTATGGCCCTTCCTCATAGCTTACTCCATAGCCAGGGCTAGGCATGTAAAGGAGCCAACTGTGGATCTGGAAGCTTTTCCTTAACTCTGGATGCAGGTGAAAACTGTGAGCAGATCTTTTTCTCTATTGATTTCCCCCACTCTCTTCCTTTTGTTGTAGAGGGCCTGTATAGACTTTGCCATAAGTGCCAAACCCCTGACCCGCTACATGCCTCAAAACAAGCAGTCGTTCCAGTACAAGATGTGGAAGTTTGTGGTGTCTCCTCCTTTCGAGTATTTCATCATGGTCATGATCGCACTCAACACCATCGTGCTGATGATGAAGGTTGCTGATTTCCTTGCCTTTTTTTTTTTTAAAGCAGGGGGCAGGGGAGCTAGCAGTTCTCGTGAGAGTTGCAGTGACAAACCATGGTGTGATAATTCAATGAGTACTTAGTGAAATGGGTTATCAACTGCTACTGTCCTTGATGGTCATGTTCTCCCTCCACCATTGGAGGCCATAAGCTTCCGAATACCAACTCCTGCAACCTGCAGGAGGCAAGAGTGATGTTGTACTCAGGTCCTGCTTTCAAACTTCTGATAAGCATCTGGTTGGCCACTGTAAGAACAGGATGCTGGACGTAGATTGGACACTAGCCTGATCCAACAGGCTCATCATATGTTCTTAATGCATGGGCAGGGAACCTCTGACCAGCCAAGTGTTGTTTGACTAACTCTCATCAACCCCTGCCTCCATGGCCAATGATTAAGGGTGATGGAAGTTGTAGTTCCACAACATCTGGAGGGCCACATTTTTCCACATCCCTGCTATGATGCAAACAAAGGCAATACATCTCCTGGCTCCTGCATGAACATTAACAAACTTCAACAATAAAGAATAAGTAGGAGGGTGTTTCTTGCTGCTGTGAGTAAGTGACTTATGAGTTCCTTGTCATGTGCATGTACGTTGTTATCCTGGAAGATTTTTAATAAGGCTAATTCTGGAGTTACTTCTACTACCTGTTTTGTTACTTTGGAGATTTTTCTGCAGCACTGATATCCAAAAGGATTGCACTTTGGGGCATTTCCAGCACAAGTGGAGGTATGTGCCTATGGAGGTGCAGCCTCTCCAGCATTTAGATGAGGTTTCTGGGTATATTAGTGAAAACTTCCTTGGTGTTAGGTAGCATTGTAGATAAGTTTCAGAGTGTTCTCTCTTTTTTGACTGAGATGAATTTAAATGGTGGTTTAGACCACGTTTTTGACCATTGGGTAGAGTTTATTTCGTATCCTATGATGTGTTCTCATTGATTTTTAATTGTGGTGTCTTGGAGTAATATTTTATATATTGTAGATACCAGTGTTCACTCCTGATAGGTCTTTCCAGTGTCTGGAAACTGCCCTACTAGAAACGTTAGCCAGAAAACTTAAATTAGCACAAGGACAAGGGGAAAAAAGGATGCCTTTACCCCAGTGTGGTTCCCCTTTATCATATACACAGCACAACAGGTTAATGACCTATCCCCGCCGCAACAGCATACAAATCAATGTATATACAAAGGACCTATCCACGTGATTCTGACACAAACCCCTACATTAACACTAGGCAGTAGAACGAAAGAACAACCCCCATCACTCTTCCCTCGTTACCCCCAGTTGTACTCCACTTATTTGTCTATTTTGTAACACAACAAAATAATTAATAACAATTATTTTTTTTAAAAAAAGAATAACGAGGATGAAACTAAACTTTAAAAAACCCTTTAAGAGTTTAAGAATAATAGGATTGTATGGTTGGGGCCGTAAAGGCCATCTAGTCCAACACCCTGCAATGCATGAGTGATTGCAACCCATGTTTTCCAGTAACCTGTTTTCTTTCTCTTTGATTTAGTTCTATGGTGCCCCACAGCCATATGAAGATATGCTGAAATGCCTCAACATTGTGTTTACATCCATGTTTTCTCTGGAGTGTGTGCTGAAGATCATTGCCTTTGGCGCCCTGGTATGAGCTGGCTTTTTTCATTGTCCTCTCTCATCCAGCACCAGAAATGCTCCTGAAATTCCACTTCTTCATATTTCTCCCTGGGTTTTTGCTGTTCCCAATGAATTTGGTTTTGTTTCAAAAGTGTACCATTCTGTTTTGTTTTATTGCTGAATTTTGTCAAGCAGGAGTGGGGGAAATCTGTGGCCTTTCCAAAGTCATTGCCTCACAATGGCTATGTTCTGCCTCCGCTATTGGAAGCCTGGAGGTTGCTCCATTACGTCTCTTGATCAGTGGAGGCTGCTGCATTAGGGTGAATGGGACACTGCCCCACCAACCTCATTCTGTTCCCAACCAGTCTCCATCTGCTTGGCTTCTTACTTAAAACCAGTGCAAGAGGAGCACTGCCTGTTAGCAATGAAGATGGCGATAGGGAGGAAACTAAAATTAGTTGGCCTCTGAATACAAGTTGACAGGAATCACAAGTGCTCAGTTCCTCCTTGAGGGCTTCCCATTGGAGCACCTGGTTGAGAAGACGATGCTAGTCTGGGTGGGCTATTTTTGTGTTCTGCTCCTTCCCTAGTCAGGACCATAGATCAAACTAAGAAGGATGCCTCCCCTTCTCTGCAACCAGCATCAAAAGTTAGGTTCCAACCTCTTAGCAGATGGCATAAAATATTTTGTAGGCTTGTAGCATTTGTGGCTTTATGAGGCTGCTGCAATTCTGCAATTCGTTTTAGAGATCCTCCTAGCTAAATTGCAATTCAGGGGTGGTGTAACATAGGAAACTCACTCTTCACATCAAACTACATGGTGCACACAACAAATTATTGAGGTCTGTAGTTTCCAGAGAAATGACTTAGATCAGCCATCACTAACCTGGTGCTTTACAGATGTCGTTCAACTTCTACTTAATCTGTCCCAGCCAGCATAGCTGATGGTCAGGGATTATGGGAGTTGTAGTCCACCAACATCTGAAAGGCATCAGATTGGAGAGAACTGATTTAGGATGCAAGCCTACCCATGTCTACTCAGATGTAACTCCCATTGAATTAAATGGGGTTTACTGTCAGGTAAGTGGGGGTGAGGATTGCAGCCTAGCATGCAGTTTAAACTTCTGAGTAATGCTGCTTGTTGTTGCTTTTGATCTTACAGAATTATTTTCGTGATGCCTGGAACATCTTTGATTTTGTCACAGTCTTGGGAAGTATTACTGATATTTTAGTAACAGAGATTGCGGTGAGTACAGACTGTGCAAACTTGCTTTCTTTAGCCAACAAAATGGTGTTGGGGGGGGGGATGCAGGCCAAATGATCTTCTCCCCAGTCTGTTGGCGGGTCATTATGAAATGATGTCTGTCAGAAGACTGGGAGAAATGATAGAAGGAACCTGAGCTGCAAAGCCAACATTCAACAATTGCAATGTAAATTTAGGATAAATATTAAGAGCTTTTGAATAAACTACCTAAGGGGGGATTTATTTACTCCTGGTGTAAATGGTATATAATGTTAGATGGTTACTAGAGTAAGTAAACAGGAGCAGCTTATGGAATCACATGCCCTCTTCCCCTTCCTCTCAGCCTCTCTCCTCTCACATGCAGGGGATTTTCCCATGCTTCTTAACCATGGCTAGATCTTATGTCCCATAATTAGTATTGGCTTTGTATATTAACCATGGTTAAAGTCAACTTCTCCTCTCTCCTGTACAAAGGCCTCCAGAGAATGAGATTCCCCTTTGCAGGATCACCTAATTCCCAGGACCATGAGGATTCCTCCAGAGTGACCACTGTGTCTTGTCTCAAACTGCCTGGTTCCCTCCTCCAACCATAGTAAAGGGGATTGGTTCAGGAATTTGTCTGCAAAGGGTGTGTGTGTGTCTGCAGTAGAGGAGAGTCTGGGGCACAGGGTCTGTGTGTAATTTCCCAACCTGGTCCCAGTCCCTTAGTGCTAATTTGAGGGTCTGTGTTACATAATTACACCTGCACTGACCTTCATATTGCTCTTCTGTCACTTAGCAGAGTGATTTAGATGGAAAGAGGACTGGGTCTATTCTGTGATTCCATACAAAAGTAAGCCCAAATACGGAATTTGGTATTTGGGTGTATAGTTCAATACCGTGGGTTGTATCCAATGTAGTCTTACACAGAAAATTGATGGTCATGACTAACTTAAGTACGTTCACTTCAGTAGGTCTACACTGAGTAACTTAACTGGATACAATCCACGGGGAATTGCACTGTTTTGTTTTCTTTGCTCCCCCCCAAATGTTTCTTGTCCTCAAGAAAATGAAGATAAGTTTGAACAATATTTCAGGAAACTAGGAGGAGTGCTGTGCTTGTAGAGTTCCTATGGTCAGGGTATAGAGTTAGTTGCTGTCAAAGCACTTTCCCAATCCCTTTGATGGACCAGGAACCCAATTTCAAATGCATTTAATTTTCATAATTTGTGCTGGAAGGTGCCATAGCTGCATTAAATAGTCCCCAGCATCTTCTTTGAAGTCAATGCCATTTTGTAAACCCTTCCCAAATAGTTCAGGTCATCCTTTCCAAAACCTGTTGCCCATCCAGAAGTTGGCCATGCAGGTTGGGCTAGATGGGAGTTGGAGGCCTCTTGGAGGCCTGTGGTTGGTAAAGGCTCAGCTGTCGCTGGACTCCATCTCCCACCATCCCTGACTGTTGGATGGCTGATGGGAGATGGAATCCAACAACAGATGGAGGGACAGGGGTTCCTCACCCCTCATACAGTGGTGCCTCGCAAGACGAAAAGAATCCGTTCCGTGAGTCTCTTCGTCTTGCGGGTTTTTTCGTCTTGCGAAGCAAGCCCATTAGCGGATTAGTGCTACAGTATTAGCGGCTTAGCGGGCTTAGTGGATCAGCTGATAAGCGGCTTAACGATAAGCTGATAAGCGGCTTAACGATCAGCTGATAAGCGGCTTAACGATAAGCTGATAAGCGGCTTAAGGATCAGCTGATAAGCGGCTTAGCATCAGCTGTTAGCGGCTTAGCCATCAGCTGATAAGCGGTTTAGCGGCTTGGGAAAAGGGGGGAAGGAAAAC